GTCAGAACTGCGCACTGTACGACGAGGATCCGCTGGAGGAGGATGGCAACGGCAACAGCAGTGGCAATCGCAAGTCGCTGATCCCTTCCAAGGGCAACCTGTACCGAGTGCTCTGCTCAACGGACGACAAAGGTAAGGGGGTGCTAGGAGAGGAGCACGCTAACGGTGCTTCTGTAGACAAGGCGCTAGACAACAAGACGCTGCAGTGCTACCGCCACAAACGACTCAGGGGAAGACATCAGGTGGAGGTGGAGGCGGACAGCTTCTACACCTGCCTCTCCAGCTGCTTCCACCGATTCGCGTCCCAGTGTGGCTCTATCGAGTACTCTCACGTGCGACAGGTCTGTCGGTTCAGTGGTCACTCGGTGGCGGGACCACTTTCCGCCAAGGACGACGACGCCCTCATTGACGATGAGACCTTTGACTACTACCAGTTTATGTGGAGTAAGTGAGGAGCGGACGGTGTCTGCTCAGCACATTATGCATGACACCGCAGAGGGGTGCCACATCACTGCATGTCCACTGGCACCACCACGACCACCATCACAACCTCCACCACTTGCACTTCACCCTACTGCGTCACCGAATTTAGTTGAATGTGTTAAATCTTCATCAGTGAAATTTGTCTTTTAATCAATGTCAAATGTTGCCTTTTTTCTCAGATGATCAATCAAATGGGCTAGTGCCGACGCAGGACAAGTTTACCAGTGGTAGTCACAGTGGTGGCAGTGGTCCACTAGATCAAATGCACGATCGGCAGGACTCCATCGAAGTGAGCCACTCTCAGCCAGGCGTGTACGGCAACTTCATTGTGCCCATCGAGCAGACTCGAGTACCATCAGAGCCGAGAGACCACCACCGAGGTGGCTTTGCCTACAGCTACACTACTGAGCCACCGAGGAAGTCACCGACGACACGGTATCGCGACCAGCCCTCCTACCCTGCTGGCTACACCACCAGCGACTCCAGCAGACGTGAGGGTCACCCTCCGGTGGCAGGTCAGATGTACGGCCAGTTCCCCATCAATGGCCCATCAGGGCACAGTTCTGTCACTGTCCACAACAATGGCGTTCACCAGCATCCTCAGTCACTCGGTCGAACGCCGATGAGTGGTGGCCACCAGGCGAATCACATGCACAATCGATTCGTCGGCTACGGAGTGCCTCCTTACGTGGCCCACAGTCAGGGCTCAGTGTCTCAGGTGCCTTACTCGGCAGTGCCAGCAGTCTCCAGTTCAGGGAGCACCGCAGGACAGCAATCAGTTATTCAACAGCAGCCATCACCAGTGCCCTATGGTCCCTACGGGCCGATATCTCCTTCCAGACCTGATGGCAGCTCAGCTGGCGGCTCAGGCAGTGCAGTTTCAAACTGCAAATTTGACAATGGCAACAATCTGGTGGACAACTCCAAGTTTCGCCGTGTTGGCTTCAGTGCCCGTCTGAAGAGTAAGCACATCTACAAGGTTGTCAAAGCTGATCGCCTCGAGGACTGCGAACGCTTTTGCCAGGAAACGAAAGATTTTGTTTGCAAGTCATTCAACTTTCGGGCTTTCTTCCCTGACAACTGTGAACTGAGCAGCATGGACACGAAAAAGTTTAAGCTGGAAAACACTGACCATTTTGAGCACAACACTCAGTTTGATTACTACGAAAGGTCGGAAAGGAAAGCGCTGATGATGACGGGCAATTCGATGGACTGCTTTGAAGTATTGCAGACATGCTCCCCTGAAGGCATGGAGCTGAAACTGAGGACCAGTGAAGGCTTCTACGGTCGCATCTACACTTACGGTTTCTACGATTCCTGCTTCTTTGACGGANTATTGCAGACATGCTCCCCTGAAGGCATGGAGCTGAAACTGAGGACCAGTGAAGGCTTCTACGGTCGCATCTACACTTACGGCTTCTACGATTCCTGCTTTTTTGACGGCAATGGTGCCTCGGAGAGCGTTCTGCGCATCAGCAAACCTAACGGATTTCCTCGATGCGGCACCCAGCAAGTGGGCGATGCAATGACAAACATTGTCGTCGTACAGTTCAATGATTACGTGCAGACTAGCCGCGACAAGAAGTACAACCTCACCTGTTACATCTCCGGCCCTGGAGAGGCTGTGGTCACGTCCAACTATCTGGACACAAAAACTGACGGGTAAGGAGTGTTGTTCAATCTAAGCAAAAATCAAGTATCTTCTTTGCTCTCCAGCCGTCACCCAATGCAGATTGAGCACCTTCCAGCGCAAAACATTCTCACAGCCAACATCGTGCTGCGAATTTTGTACAGAGGAACGCCCACTAACACGATCGTCGTTGGCGACTTGTTAACTTTTCGCCTAGAAGCCCGAAACCAATGTAAGTTTGCTTGAAAAGTTTTGCCATAAACTTGACTTAAACTCTTTACATACAGATCGGTACAATGGCTACCACAATGACATCTTTGCGACAAATGTCATTGCAAAAGACCCGTATACAGGACGACAAGTGCTGCTGATTGACTCGCGAGGGTAAGTTTGAATGATAAATTCTTGTAACCAGCTTATTATTTTTCTTTATTTCAAGATGTCCTGTTGACCTGTTTGTTTTTCCGGAGCTTCATAAAACTCCAGACGGAGCTCTAGAAGCAGAGTTTTATGCATTTAAAATACCAGATTCAAATTTTCTAGTTTTTCAAGCCACTGTAAAGACTTGTAAAGGACCTTGTGAACCGGTAATTTTAATCAACTGTTAGCACATTGTTGTTTTTTAATTTTTCCAATCGTTTTCAGGTAATTTGCACTGATCGCGGTCGTGGCCAGAGTTCATTTCCCTCTTGGGGTCGACGAAAACGTGCTATTCGAGCGTTTCCTCCTAAATCAAAGCCAACTAAATCAGGCAATTCAAGTAAATTGGACGAGGAGGAAGTGCACGAACTACTGCAAGTGTACCTTTCCCACGAGGATGTGCCTGAGCCGACTCGTCTCGAGCGCACTGACGAGGCACCAAATTCAGGCAAAATGTGCGTGGACAAGTTTGCCTACTATTCTCTGGTTATGTTTTCTGCACTTTTCGTGTTGTTATTTGTGGTTATACTGCCTTACTTTGCTGTGGTCAAAGCAGCCAAATACCAGGTAAATATCTCAGCAGCAGTTACCCAATGCTAAGCTACTCATTGCTTCACAGAGTAAACATGACCGGTTCGGTCACTGGCCCATTGGCTGGTTTCACTCGCACCAACAGCAGCCTCAACAGGTACCATCTTTTTCAATTCAGCGCACTTTTAGTACTTCTCCTAACTTTATGGGCACTGCCGAGAAGAGATCGTCCCCTTTTTCCGGTGAACCAATCTACTGTGACCCGTCCATTCTTGAGCGATCTCGCAGTCTTCAAAGTCTTACCGTGCTTGACAGCAACCGAATTGCTACCTAATTTTAACCCAAACACACACACACACCACACACCTTGTACCATTTGCTAGACAAATTGCACATGTTAAGTTTGAATCTGCTGTAGTCTGCACCCTCATCTTTAGGCACTTTTAGTGGCGAATAAAGCCGACAACACTGACACTGAAAAAAACTGCAGATTGACACTGTATATCACTGCAAGGGAAATCACCTTCCGCCGGCGCTTGCTGTGCATTGCGCGGCGGAAATGGAAGATGAGCGACCAGTGCCGTCAGATGATGGCTAATGACATTTGGTAAATGTACTGCTGACATGCGACAGTGGATGAACTGCACTTGCTGTGTTGCTGGTTTGCTTGCTGGTTTGCAGCACCAGTAGTGTCACAGGACGCCAGTAGTCAGTGGCGTAGGCGTAGGGGACAATCGGCGCCAGGGAGATGCCATTTTGGGAAATATTTTTAGTAAACTTTTCCGTCCGCTACAGCTGCGGCAGTGGATGGCAGTTCGCCTTACCTAAGCCTATAAATAGGCCAGTTAAACCATACTTGGAAAATAACTACCCAATTCTGTGACTGGCTGTTTGTGTCAGCCAGGCAATGGACTCGTGCCAAGAGCATCAACACACGGGTGCTCTCCACTGGAGAATCAGCAGGAGTACAGTGACTGACTGCCTGATTCTGTTCAAGAGTTGGCAAATGCCAGCCAGAGGGAGAGAGCAGTTCTAAATATGCCAGAATGAAAACCGCTCAACAGAGACTACAACTAGCACCTCAGGAAGAAGAGAATGAGTAGCATCGGTGCAGTGGCGCCCAGTCACTGGTTCTGAATCAACAGCAGCAACAGCAGTGCCTGACTTGGCTGATTCTGTTTGAGAAGGCACACTGATGAACTATGAGCCGTGGTGTGCCTACCGTTGCAGACGCGCGCCGTTGGTTGGCAATCGGCTGCTTGGAACGGCGGCAGCGGCAGGCGTGTCGCCAGAGTCACTGCCAACACTGACTGCGGTGATCATCAGTCAGTGCAGTCTGCTGGCGTCGTTGCTCTCCTTTACTTCCCTTCGGTGGTACGACGAGTAGTGCTGGTGGCAGCAGGCAGTGCAGCAAGCAGACACACTCACACCACATCTGCTGTCTTACTCTCAACGATACCCCGTCCTCGTCGCCGTCGTAGGTTGGTTGGCTGGTAGGTCTCTGTTGTTCGGTCGGTGCCGCATCTCTCAGTGAATGAAAGTGAGAGAGAAGCACACTTTCTCTCACATTGCAGTGAGTATCATCGGTGTCCCTTCAGTCGGCAAGAAGATGTCAAGTAGTGGTGGCAAGAGTTAGTGCAAACACAGACGCTCTTTCCTGCCTGTTCTCTCTCTCTCCCTCTCTTCAGGCGATTCGAGCAGATTCTTGTTTCTGACTCAGTCTGTCACCGCGTGTGTGCCACTCGCGCCGCACAAGCTCCATCGGCACTTTTTGTGCAGTTCACTTTCTTTTACCTCGTGTGCCGTGTCAACACATCATCATCATCATCTCACCTACTCTTCTTCACCTGTACTCGCTAATTGTGTTCACCTACCATTGTTTTTCCCTGACCACCACTATTTTTTAGTGTGTTCTAGTTTCTGCATTCAACTAATCATGCCTTCATTTCACACTAAAACCATCGAGAGCATTCTCGATCCAGTCGCCCAACAGGTGAGTTCCTCCTCAGGTGTGCCTTTCACACTGTTTTGCTTTGCTCATTCGGGCGGTGGTCGTCTGGTTGTTGTTGACTTTTTAAAGTGTCATTGCACATTTTCATGTACACTGCTGCTTCACCATTAGATAAGATACACACAGGCGTGCACATTGCAGTAAAATATGTTGTTGTTGCAGTCGAGGAGAGGACGCCAACTTTGCGTGCAATTCACTGTGAAAGCGCTCTTTATTTGCAATTGTTTACTTTGCTGGAATTCAGCTCCTCTTTCTCCTGTGGTAGAAGCACTGATTTTTATTGGAAATTCTCAAGATGGTTCTATTTTTACAAGCAAACACAGTGCATGTATTCTGTAGCATCAACCGCAGCGTTCGCTTCGCTGCTCACTACACACAGTCTGTCTGCCTTCAGTGAGAGCCGGGTAAAATTGGCAACCTCTGAACCTGCCAGGATGCTGGTGGTGTTGATGATGATGATGATTAGCACTGCAGCGAGAGAATATGCATTTGTTAGACGCTTCTGTAGAGTGTACTGGCAGCAGTGTGTTGACTGATCATGATCACTGGCCAAGTAATGGACAGCACTTATCCCATTAATCACGATTCGGTGAAGCCAATCGGTAGCACTGTTTATTTATTTCGCGCGCGCGCTCTTTACAACTGCTGTTGCTAGTAACACCAGCAGCACCAGCAGCAGCAGCACTTTAGCATCAACAGTAGCACTCCATAGATCTGAATGACACCAACGCCGGCTTGCTACCCACTGGCAGCGGCTGTCTGCAGTGCATGTTTGTGTTAGGACAGAACTGCCGACATGTACAGCAGGCAGAAGGCACTGCCGATCAATTGCCATAATGACGATGTTTATTATTTCTCTCTGACAGGTTGAGCGATTGGTAATATTGCACGAAGAGGCGGAGGATGGCAACGCCATGCCTGACCTCGAAAGGCCAGTGCTGGGCGTGAGCACTGCGGTGACCAACCTGGTGAAGGTCGGTCGGGAGACGATTCAAAGCAGCGATGATCACATTCTGAAGCAGGACATGCCCGCCTCACTGCAGAGAGTGGAGCGAGCCTCTCGTCTGCTCGAGGACGCCTCACGGGAACTGAAAGTTGACCCCTTCTCATCAAAAGCGAGGTCTAAGCTCATAGAAGGCTCCAGAGGCATCCTTTCTGGCATTTCGCTCCTCCTGACAGCGTTCGATGAATCAGAAGTAAGGAAAATTATCAAAGAGTGCCAAAAAGTTTTAGAGTATTTGGCGGTGGCCGAGGTCATTGACTCCATGGAGGATTTGGTGCAATTTGTCAAGGTATTTAAACGATTCAACTACTTTTAACTGTCCTACTACTAATGAATGCCTCTCTTACCAGGATCTGAGTCCATGTCTGACCAAGGTTTCTCGTGAAGTAGACTACCGAGAGAAAGAGCTCACACACCAAGTGCATCGAGTGATTCTGAGTCGCTCGCTGGAGTCCATTAAGACACTGGCTCCCATATTGATTTGTGCCATGAAGATCTACGTTCAACTGGTGGATCAACGCAAGAAAACTGACGAGGCGGCAGAGAACCGAAACTACCTGGCCCGTCGAATGACGGATGAGATCAACGAAATAATCAGAGTGCTTCAGTTGACCACGTACGACGAGGACGAGTGGGAATCGGATGATGTGAATCGCATCAAAAAGACATACGTAAGCATTTGCAGAAGGAGAGGATTTCTACTTGTACTTAAAACATATTTCAGAATGCACTTCAAGGAAAACTGGCGTCAGCCCACGACTGGCTGGAGGACCCAACAGCAGTCACCGGCGGCGTGGGAGAAAAGTCGGTGCGCTCTATTTTGGAGGATGCTCGACGAATCGCCGATCTGGCACTGGCCGATGACAGAGAGGCCATCAGGAAGATGGCCGGTGACATTGGCGCCATGGTCGACGCTCTGGTGGAGCTGAGAGATGACGGCAAAGGCGGCACTCCACAGGCACACTCACTAGGCCGTGCAATCAACGGCAAACTGAAGGAGCTCAGTGCTCTGGTCAATCGAGCCATCATGAACATCGAACGAACCGGGGCGCAGGGACCGGCGCACACCATCACGGGCAAGTTTGACCAGGCCTCAAAGTGGCTGTCCAACTTGAACTTTGACGACAAGGGCGTCGGCCAGCAGGCGGTGAAGGCGATTCTGCAGGACAGCCGTCGAATCGGCCAGTCATGTCCGCCCTCTCAGCGAGAGGACATCTACGACCTGTGCAATGACGTTGAGCAGCTACACCGACAGCTAGATGACCTGTGTCGACGAGGCATGGCAAACACCCCACAGGCGCAGGAGATCTCCCGAAGACTAAACCGAAAGCTTCAGGAGCTGAAGAAGCTGATTGAGAGGGCGCTAATCACTCGAGTGGTTGACGACTTTATTGACATCTTCACGCCGCTGAAGCAGTTCACTGAGGCGGTCTACGCTCCTGAAGGCACACCCAACCGAGAAGATCGATTCAGAGAAAAGTCAAATGTGCTGAATCAGTTTTCGCGAAAGGTTTCGCAGACTGCCCGCAATGTGGCCACTGGTTTGGCGCCAAACAAGCGTCTGGCCGAAGGTATTATCAATCTGTCGAATGACGTGGAAAGTATGACACCACAGCTGATCAGCGCTGGTCGCATTCGGTTCACTCATCCCGATAACAAGTCTGCTGATGAGCACTTTGAAAATCTAAAGTCACAGTATCAGGATAACATTGAAAAGTTGCGTTCAATGGTGGACGAATCAGTAGACAGTGTCAACTTTGTCAACTCATCAGGTTCGCTTTATTCTTATTTATTTATTGCCTTCAAATGATTTCTGACTGACTGTTTATTTCAGAGGATGCCATTCTCAAGTACACCACTCTGTGCGAGAATGCCATTGCCAATCGTCAACCTCAGAGCATGGTGGAAAATACCTCAAATATTGCCCGAATTGCCAATCGTGTTCTCGGAGTCGCCAAGCAGGAAGCTGAAAACTCAGAGGACTACCACTTTATTTCAAATGTAAACCGATCTGCTGATGAACTGCAGAGATGTAAGTTAAACTTTGAAAGGCGATCGTTTGTAATAATTGTTTTGAATTGCAGCGATTCCCTCAATGGTCCAAGATGCGAAAACGGTTGCCTTGAACATCCACGATCCTAGCGCAGCCAGCAGGTGGCGAGAATCAAATCGACATGTAAGGAAAACATTCTTTGTTCAATCCATTTACAATTTTTAACATTCACTTTTTCAGTTAATAAACTCAGTATCAGACGTGAAGAACGTCCTCACTCCCGATGTGCCTGATATCAGCAACCTTTCACTAAACGGTAAGTCCAATGGCTAGTAAAACTGTGACCAAATACAATCTGTCATTCTCTTCTATCACCAAATCAATTCACTGTCCACTGTGAGCAGACGATCAGTATGCCTTTTCTCCGTCTGCTCCCTCGGTCACCTCAAACAATAATCGCAAACCGGTGACTGAGAGTGAGTTCAGAGACATTTTCAGCTCTCTGGATGGTTTCGTGCCTGATTCGAGGCAATCTGAGGCACCACCTCGACATGTTCAGATAGCGGTTCAGTCTACTCGAACCTATTCGAGCACTTACTCTGCACCCAGATCAGGTATTGCTAGGTCTTTCATTGTCAGCTTTACTGCTTGCCTCGGTAGTGTGGTTTTGCTTTTCTTCGCTTTAAACTCTTGAGTTGAGTTCTTCCCACTAATATCACATGGTTAGAAGCGTTGCTAAAAACGGATTCGAGTTGATTTTGCCTAGTTCAACTAACAACTAAAAACAAATCAAGCGTTGCTTCGGTTGTGTGCTTGTGTTTATCTATTTGACTATAACTTAACTTCTTGAGCAGACTCATATGCACCTCCACGCCCACCTCCACCGACGGTCAACAATATCGCTCCTCCACAGCGACCACCGCCGCCTGAAACGGACGACGAGTACGATGATCGGTTCCCGACTTTGCAGCCAAACCAGCCCATCATGGTAAGCATCACAGCGCATGGAAGGGCCTAATAATTAAATGCTTCTTTCCACTACTAACAAGATGGCTGCACACGACTTACACCAAGAAGTCAGACAGTGGTCGAGTAAGGAGAACGAGATCATCGCTGCTGCCAAGAGAATGGCCATTCACATGGCTCGACTGAGTGCACTGTGCGGTGGACAGGGCACAAAGAAGGACTTGATTGCCTGTGCCAAACTGATTGCCGAGTCCTCTGAAGAAGTCACCCGCCTTGCCAAAGATCAAGCCAAACTTTGCACGGACAAACGAATGCGAACGGTAAGTGGACTGTCGGCTACTTGCGAATAGTGTCTACAATGTTTCACTGTTCCACAGAACATTCTTCAAGTGTGCGAGAGAATTCCCACCATTGGCACTCAGCTGAGAATATTGTCCACGGTGAAGGCCACCCTTTTGGGTGCTCAAGGTACGAGTGGTAGAACTTGTTGCGGTAGTTTTGTTAACCGATGATACTTCTAAATTTTCCCAGGTTCACAAGAAGACCAGGAGGCAACTGAAATGTTGATTGGCAATGCACAGAATCTGATGCAGTCAGTCAAGGAGACCGTTCGTGCCTGTGAAGCTGCCTCTATCAAAATTCGCACCGACAGCGGAGTGAGAGTGCTCTGGGTTCGAAAGCAGCCCTGGTATCAGTGAAGTGACGACAACTGAAGATCCACCTTTTGTAATCCATCTGGTCTGTCTGTTTCACATAGTCTGAAACTCCTATTTATTACAATTTGACTTTTGTAAAAAAACTCGACAATACACACAAAGCACAGTGTAGAAATCTTGTGTCAAATTGATAACCAACTCTACAACCTTGTTTTTTACGAATGCTTTTATTAACGCTTAAGAAAATTAAAAAGTTAAATGCTTTTGTTTATTTGATGTTCTCGATGAGCACCGAGATTCCTATGAGCAAAAAATGCAGAGTTAAAAAATGTCACACAATAAACTGATTCTGTAATTCCTTACCTTGTCCTCCTCCGATGCAAGCACTTCCGATGGCATACTTTCCGTTGATGCTCTTCAGCTCGTTAACGAGATTGGTGAGGATGCGTGCTCCACTGGCCGCCAAAGGATGACCCAGAGCAATGGCACCGCCGTTGACGTTGGTCTTCTTCAGGTCAAGACCGAGCTCCTTCTGGACGGCCAAAAACTGAGCAGCAAAGGCCTCATTGACTTCGACAACATCAATGTCATTCAGAGTGAGACCATTCGCCTCAAGAAGTTTGCGAATGGATGGCGCTGGTCCAATGCCTGAAGTGAAGAGCAAGTGCTCAATGAGTATGTGCATTTGATTCAAACAGTATTAGCAATATTTACCCATGATGGTAGGGTCGACTCCCATTGAGCAATACCCGACGACACGAGCAAGTGGAGTGAGCGAGTTCTTCTTGACGGCATCCTCACTGGCCAAGACCAGAGCTGCTGCGCCGTCATTCACTCCTGAGGCGTTACCAGCGGTGACAACACCGTTTTTCTTGAAGGCAGTAGGCAGTTTAGAGAGGATTTCCATGGTCGTCGCTGGTTTTGGGTGTTCATCAACGTCAAACGCCACTTCCTTGCCCTTTACTTTCACCATAACTGGGACGATTTCATTCTTGAACTTTCCATTCTTCTGAGCATCAGCCCAGCGTTTTTGCGAAAGAAGAGCAAAATTATCGCAATCCTCTCGGCTGATGGAATACTTTTCTGCCAAGTTTTCAGCAGTGATTGCCATTGGAATTCGAGCATGCCAGTCAGTTAGAGCAGACCAGAGAGAACATTCCATCTAATCAATATTATTACACACACAGTTACATCAGCAGGTAAACAGTGACAGTAGCAAAATTTACCTCTGGAGTTTGAGAAAACTTTACGCCAAATCGGGCTCCCCGAACAACAAATGGCGCTTGAGACATACTTTCAGTGCCAACAGCCAAAGCGATCTCGGAATCGCGCAAAACAATGTCCTTTAGAAAAATTAAAACAAATTAGTAAGATCTCAATGAGTGTGAATAAGCATGAAAATTACCTGAGCAGCGTTCACGGTAGCTTGAAAGCCACTACCGCAAAGTCTGATAACCGGAAAGATTTTGATTATAAAAATAATGACGATATTCAGCATTTCAGCATTTACCTGTTCACCGTCAAACAGGGTGTCTCCAGCCGAGCACCAATGCCAAGGGCAATGTGCCGCGAAATGTACGTTCCATTCTTTTGCGAGTCCTAGAAGATCGATGAAAAGCTCAAGTTACAGTTCCAGTTGCACCGGAAAACCATTACCGAAATTATGTTTCCAACGGTGACACTGTCAATCTGTTCAGCGCTGACTTTGGAAGCCTCAAGGGCCGCTCGAGCCGCAATCTGACCTAGTTCAACGCTGCCAACGTCTTTGATTTTTCCACCAAAAGCGCCAAACGCGGTTCGCTTGCACCCAACAATGAAGACACCTTGGGATGAGAAAATGCAGTGACGATGTTAGTGATGAGAACTTGCAATGGCCGATGATGCTTCCAAGACATGTTCTGGTCAAACACTGTCGATTCCATTACCTCTCATTAGGGAAGACATGTTGATGGCTGGTGAGTGTGGCTCAAGTGACGAGTGCACTGTAAGTGGCCACTGTCGTTGGGGTGATTGTTTATGTACCTAAACTGAATACACAGCTATAAATAAGCGCAAGCCGAGGCAGACGATAGAGGGCGAGCTTTAGAAAGTACTCTGAGTAGAAGTCTTTGCCGGCTTTCTATCACGTAGCACCATCAGGAGCATCCCCAGTATCGATAATGCTGCCTCTGTCATGCTTTGTCACCCAAAATGATAAAAACAAACGAGTGCTCAAGTGCTTTTTTATATTTTTCTACTGCTTTTTAAACACTTTATCTTTGAAAACAAGTGCATTTCGTCCAGTCGATGCTTAACTTTCTCTCGACAGGAAAAAGAGTAGAGCCGATTTTTTTAAAATCTTTTTAGCTCTAAAATAAAACAATGGCGATAATGAGAGAACGGTTTGAAATTCTGTTTAACTGTTCAGTGCGGGGGAGAATTGATCAGTCTCTGTGTCCATTGTGCATTGCTAACACAAAGAACGCGCCAAATGAGCTGCCCAGTACCTGAAGGCTTCCCTGTTGTGCCGCTCGCGCTCGTTTTTTTGCGAGCGGCAGCAGCAGCAGCAGCAGCGGAATACAAACATGTGCTCGGGGCTACACGATGGAAGACGATGCCGATTCTAGTAGCATTGACGACGGTGATTACTTTGCTCATAATGAGTACTTTAAACAACAACAACAAAAAGAGGTAAACTTGGCAAACTTGTTTAGTGTTCAACTTGTTGACTCAACCCTTTTTCTCTGTAGATCGATGCGGCCCTCTCAACAGCCTTTGACGATGTCACCAATCTCAGCGATATTACCATCTCAGACGACGACTTTGACAGTGTCTCCAACAGGTCAAAGAGAGGAGTTAACAGAAAGCCGAAAAGTGATTATTTCATGACAAATCATCTCAACACTTCCACACCAACACGGATAAAATCATCCTCATCTTCCAGTCATCACAACAAACATCAACATCCTTCGCCATATCAACACGTTAAAAATGCTCCTACCGACTGCCATTTTTCTGACAGAAATGACAAAGTTTCATTAAATCTAAGTGATGATGATGGTGAACCATTCAGCAGACAGTTTGACAGTGGCGACTACACTCAGGACCTCAACAAAGACAAAATCAGCAGTAGTCTTCTTTTACAGAATGACAAGCTGACAAAACAAATGTGTGTCATCAAAGGACAGTGTCAAAAAATCAACTCTGATTACAAACAGCTTGAAAAAAAGTTTTCTCGTTTGTTTGATGAAAACCAAGAAAACTTGGACGTCATTGCGGGCTTACAAGCAAAAGTAAATCATTTGGAGTCAATGTTGGAAGTTGAAAGACAAAAGCTGAAAAGAAAAACAAAAGAATTGAAAGACGTATTGAATGAAAATAACTGCTCAGAGTTGATGTCACGAACCAACGAAACGCACGAAAATGTGGTTGCCATTATGCAGCAAATGCACAACAACGAAGTGGACCAACTGAAAGACCAAATAAAGCAATTAACTTTACAATTGCAAGAAAAAGAGGGTGAACATTGCAGCAAAAATGCGCCACGACATAATGAAGCGGATCGATATTGCACAAATGATAAGAAAACAGAAGAAATATTAAAGGCGATGGATCAGAAAATGATCAGTTTGAAGGAGGACTGGCAACTAAAGCTTCAGGAGGATGTAGACAAAATTGTCAACTGGATTAATAATCTTGAAAAAGGCACTGGCCATCGAAGAAGGAATGAAAACAACATCCCTTCTGTGGACTTTTTGCCTTTACGTGGATTAACAAATCACCTGCAAAAGCACCTCTCTTTGACCGAAAGAGAACAAAAGCTGGAGGAACATATTGCTCAATTTAAAAACTCCAAACAGCAACTTGAGGAGATATTACAAGAGTCACTCATGCTATCCACATCAAATCTGTCCAATTCTTCTGGAAAAAGTTTGAATCCCCAGGAGCTGTGGGATGAGCTGGAAAAGTTTAAAAAGGAATCAAGCGATCTTGCTCAAAAACTCCGAAAATACAAAAGATTCTTTTTACTTTTACAGAAAAAGTACCAAGAAGACGTGGAAAACTTGAAAGCCCAATATGCCAGAGCTATTAACGGAAACGGCGCTAAATTCCGATCTTCATAATGTAAAGTGTTTTGAAAGTTTTATTCATTTATTCACACACTTGACTCAAATTGTACATTCCATTTAAAGTAAATACATTTGCATAATGTCAGCTACAAAGTGAGCTTGTCCTCTTGATCATCAATGAGGCGGTTGTCTTCAACTATGATCACCTGGTTTGAGTAGTCCATTTGCACAAACAGATACCGAAAGTGCGACTTGGGCGAGTCCTTTCGGGTCTCACACTGCACAGTGGCCTTGTGGCCTTTGCTTCCCTTCAAGTAGAATTTAACCCGGAGGTACGTTTTTCCATTGTTTTCATACTCTACAAAGGACACATGGCGAGCCCTTCCTCTTGATGTCATCTCTCCGTGGCCCTTGATCGGCTCACCCAGCGCTTCAGTGACCCGAGGATCTTGTTTGCACTTGTTCAGGGCTGTTGCAAACACCGCTGAAGGGCTTTTTGAGGAGAAAAGCTCTTTGAAGACGACAAAGAAGATGAAGCCAGTGACTCCGATTCCGAGGAGAATGACTGAGATGTTTGTGGCATCCTTGGTGCCCTGCTTGATGCGTTCAGTCACCTTCACATGTTCAGAGAGTTGTTTGTCATTGGACGATGAAACTGACACTGACTTGCGTTCCTGATCACTCTTCCGCTGGGCAGTGCTCAGCTGATGGACACTGAAGAGTATGAGACGGTTATGTCGCTGGATGCTAAAAAGGTGCTCTTTCAGGGGGAAAGCCTTTACCGCCGATAAACTGAGACTCTTGCAAAAGGCAAACATTTTTGAGGTGACCGGTGAATGAAGTCAGCAACAGCACAATAGAACATGTGATTATCATCAGATTTTTATATAGTCTGTTTGGTAAACAGAAAAATACACTTTTTTGCGGTTCGTCCGACGATCTGCCATCTATCATCACCCACTGCAAGTCGAGCAGTTTCAATCAAAGAAATCCTCTACATCGACAACATCATCTAGCAAATGTTCGCCAAATCGGGACAAATCAAACTGATTGTAAATCAGCTTCTCGAATGTCTCCTCAAAGTCAGTTTCGCCAATCAAGACGGCGCCCTGCATGGACCCATTTCGGAGCACCACTTTGATTAGCTCTTTCTTGGCAGTCACCCGACACTGAATAGAACAGTCTTCAAGTGGCAAGCCTTGCCCATTGTACAGACCAAGGAGAATGACTCGAAGACCAAAGAATCTGGTGACATGAGTGAAGACATCAAAGTTGAAGTACAGCTCAGGACTTGTCTTGTGAATGTGTGCTGAAATGCACTTTGCAGCGTAGAAGCCCATTTGTCGAGCCTGTGTCCAGAGGCGCATCTGAAACCAGTGGGCAGCCAGTGGCCAACCTGCGGCGCAAACATCTCCAGCTGCATAGATGTGCTCGATGCTGGTCCGCATTTCATTGTCCACCTACAAAAGAAGTACCTTTTTGATTAATCAAAACTTAGTACACACACTAGTGCAAAATACCAAAAGGGCTTTGTCAGCACCCAGGGTAAAAGTGTTGTTCTCGGTGAATACTTGACTGTTTGGAAGGACACCTGTTGCACTTATGACCATATCACATCCGTAAATTTGGCCGGTCGATAGTTCGACGTAGACGTTCCAATTGTCTTGTCGGTAATGAAAAAGTCAGCAAAGAAATACAATATTAAAATCGGTGTAAATACCCTGATCGGTTGACTTGACAATGTGACTAGATTTTTCTGTTGGAATTGATGCCACATCTCTGTAAATGTTGCTTATTTGGCAGCACTTTTCAATAACCACGTTCTTTTGTGATTTACCAATCATCGAGAAACCATTGTGCCAGTCGGGACCTAGAGCTACGCCGAATTCGTTTTTCTGCTCTGATTCGGCTTGATTCACAGTAAAATGGTGCCGTTTTGTGATTTGATCGCTTTTTGATGCAGGATCTTCTTTTAAAAAGTCAGAGAAAAACTTGGAAACGACTGAATCAAAAAAGGTAGCACCAAAATTGTTGTCTTTGATGGCCCAGACAATTTCACAACCACTAACTTCATAAACTAATTCAGTTGCGATGCCACCATTCCCAACAATTATGATTCTTTTTGAAGTGCTTAGAATTGACTGAAAATCTTTTGCAGTTTCTGTGTCGCGAATACATTTGATAAATCGCTTTACGTTTATGTCATTTTGCATCGGTATCATTTTTGGTTTGGCACCGGTACAGATGGCCAACTTGCTATACTTGATTACTGAGCCATTATCAAGTGTTACTGTTCGTTTCTTTGAATCAAGAAGAATCACATTATTATGAAGCACTTTCAGATTGATATTCTCTAGCGCGCTGGAGTTTTGCTCAATGACGTCAAAAATATCAATAGATCTGCCAATTGTTCTCAAGTTGGCTACCATCTTCACCACCGGGGAGGCTGAGATCAGAATCACGTCAAACGCTGGGTTGTCAAGAGAGAATACTTTGGCACAAGTGGCACCAGCAATTCCGCCGCCAATGATCACAATCGGATCCATGATGAGTTGATGGAAAACAGTTTCAGACAGATTTCACCGCGTGAAAACACCGGCTTTGTTTTGATTGAGAAAATAGCCGTCGTCTTTGTGGGTTTTAATAGGCTGATTCACGTGCTGATCCAGCTGATTTTTGTTCAAACAATTTTTCTGTTTCATCTCCAGAATGCTTGCGATCGGCCGTTTCCGTTCCGTTTTCGCCTCAAAATGGATCAGCTGTTCACGAAACTATACCATTACCTCAACAGAGCTGCAACACCTAAAAGAGGCACTTCAGAAAAATGGATTTACAGAGGGGCAATCTGACGAGTTGATTACCGACCTGACGCCACACTTGCATCGAGACTCCGTATCTGTGATAAGATCTTCACTGGCTTGTTGGAGAAAGAACATTACCTCATCTAAAGAACAATCAGAAAAGTTTGAACAATTGTTTACTAATGTTTTCACCGAGAAGGAGCCACGGCTTCTGCTGGTTAAGCCCGAACACATTCTGCAGCGAATTGAAGAACTCAAATCACTTGATTTAGTTCGAGGTAGAAACGACCTATGGACTCTGTTCAGAAAAGCTCCCACAGGCTATTATATGCAAGAATGGAAGGAGTTTCTTCGCAAATACTACTACATCACATACAAGGTGTTGCCTTGGCTTGAGCCGAAAATTGTTCGCGATTCCCTCAATCCGATATTACAGTATCCGCCGGTTATTGAGATGCACTTTAACAATATTAAAACCCGGTTTCTTTTCGCTCAACGAACCGGCTTCAAAATTAGCACCGTCGGGAAAGGTGGCAAAATAAATCTGAACACTCTGATGACGTACCCTTTGGAAGAGTACTTGAAAATCTACAGTCCAAACTGCACAATGGAGGAATTCAAAGCTCTCGAATCTCTAAACATGCAAGCAGTCGGCGAAGAGGACGACAAACTCTTTGAGGAACTCGTGGAGCTGGCCCCAAAAGTCAACAGCAAGCCATTTTTTGATACTGCATTTAAAGAAACTTACCTAATTAGTGATATCAGGCAATAAATGAAAGAGTTTTTCATCAATTTGCTCTAGTTTCCTTTGCTCAATCACAGTCATACTTTAAAAGTTTTCGAACATTCTCTCTGCTAATAAAAGGCGTGTTGTTTCTTTAGTAGCTTTCATATTTTATTGTGTGATTTGTCTGTTTTTCTGCTCTTTGCCACTCTTTGCCACTTGTTTGCTGTACAACTCTCTAGTCATGCCATCGAAAGGATCCAAGAAGGCCTGCGATGTGGCCACTGCCAAGATTGGCTTCGTCGGCGCCGGCAAACTCGCAGAGAGCATCATCTCCGGTCTGGTCGTCTACGGGAAGGTCGACCCGAAGCGCATTCACGTGGCCGCCCCAAGCTCCAACAACACTGACCGCCTGAAGCAGAGCTTCCAGGGCCTGAAAGTGAGCAAGCGCAACTTGGACATTTTCGGCAAGTTTGACTGTGACATTATCTTTCTGGCCGTCAATGGCAGCGTCATTCGCAACCTGTACAAGCTCGGTGGCAGCCGCCCGGCTCCTCTCACCACCAACTACATTCCCAACATGAAGGTACAGAGCTACTACTACTTGCTGAGCCACGTCACTACTCCCTACTACCTCCTCCCACCTAGCACCCGCTGTACGTCCTCTCGCTGATCACCGGCTTCGAGATCAAGGTGATCAAGGACTGTCTGCTGAACCCCGAGCACCCTGAGAAGTACATGCTGGAGATGCACCGCATCATGCTCAACTGCGCCGCCGCCTTTGGCCTGGGCGTGTGCGCCGTCGACGTGGAGCCGGACAGCAAGAAGCTGGCAGAGCCGGTGCGCGCCCTCCTCTCGCTGGTCGCCAAGCTGGAGTACATTCCCGAGGCGCAGATGGACGCCGCCTGTGCCCTCTGCGGCTCCGGCCTCTCCTTCAGCTACTACTTCATCAACGCCATGTCCGATGGAGCGCTGAAGATTGGCCTGAGCCGAGCGGCGGCGGTCAAGTTTAGCGCCAAGACGGTCAACTGCGCCACGCAGACGCTGCTCGAGTCGGGCAAGCACCCCAACGAGCTCAAGGACGAGGTGTGCGCCCCCTCCGGCGGGGCCATCTACGGCCTGAGCATCCTCGACAAGGCCGACGTCGCCTCGGGCGTCTCCGGCGCGGTCGAGGCCGCCTACAAGCGCGCCCTGTCGCTCGCCCGTGAGGACAACCCCGCCTAAGGCAAGTGGAGGAGGCTGACTTTCTCTGCTTCAGTCAAACACCTCTCCATATCGGAGCAGTATGCTCTTTATCCATTTTTCAAGTTTTTTGTATTAACAATTTTTGAATTTTTTATTGCGTTGATTTTTTAAAGAAATAGTTCTCTTTTTGTCGAAGCCATTCATGTGGGCTTCAAAAAAAAAGTCATTTTTCCGTTGTGATCTTTTCGCTTTTCAGGGTCTAGCTTCTTGAGAATTTCGGCCATTATCTCCGCTCGCTTGTCCCGATGACCCTGGGGCATTATATTTTTGCACATTTTCAACAGCTCAACAGCAGTGTACGGTTTGCGAAGAAGGTATCGTCGAACGTCTCCAATGATACTGTCTATGAGCTCATTCTTGGTAAGCTCGACTTTTTGCTTTTTATTGCCATGGTGATGAACGATTGCCGGATTCTCCAGTTTGTGCTTAAACTTAAGACCACTTGAACTGCCCTTGCCCTCTTTACTTGTGGTGGCAGAAGATTTAGAGTCAATGGCCGAGTTCGATTCAGCAGTAGTCTTTACAGTCTTTCCTTTTTGAATAAAAAGTGCCGACTTGGACACATCTAGGCTATCAGGATTGTCTGAATCAAAGTCAGAGCCTGAAGCCGAGTCATTTTCTGCAAAAAAACAGTGTTTTAGAAGCGTTATAAACAAAATTAAATATTTACCGTCAGTCTTTATTTTCTTTTCCTCTTCATTAGTCTTGCTCTCCTCAGACTGATCCTTGTTCTCCTCCTTGTTCTCCTCCTCATCTTCCTCCTCTGACACCACCAAGTCTCGCAAGGCGGACTCATCAATGACAGCCTTTATGTCGCCCTTTTCAGTGTCCGACTCTGAGCTACTGGACGAATCAGACATGTAGTCCACCTCTTTGTCATCATTATCACCCTCATCGCTGTCTTCGCCAGGCTCTTCATCGTCGTCTTCCGAGTCTTCCTTCTTTCGTTTGTCTTTCTTTTCCTTCTTTGCCTTACCCTTTTTCGGCTTTTCATCCTCATTGTCACTGTTTTCGCTCAAGCTGTCATTTTCCGAATCTCGGTCCCATTCGTCCATGTCGGTCACTTTAAATTCCTTTTTGACTGAAAACTCTGTCTTGACTTTTGAATCATCAATCGACCCGTCACCTTCCTTTTTGCCCATGTGCTTTAGTTGAAAGTAGTTCAAAATCTGATCTCGTTTGATAAACTTTTCTTCTGCCTCTTCCGCAGTGAGGGCTTTGTATCTCTGGAAAGGCGTAAACTTGTACCACTCATTGACGGGAAATGCCTCAAAAGCGCCATCAGGAGCTTGGAAAAAGACGTAGTATGATGTGTTTTCAGTAACGCCGCCTTCACGAATTCCTTTGTACCTAGAATAAAAGTTGTAGCAACACTTGAAATGAACTCTAGAACGATACTTTTTGCTGTGTTTTCCACTTCCAACTTTGAGAATCCACGGCGAGTTGTTTTGTTTGTGCTTTCTCCTTTCGTACTTTTTCCGTCTCGCTTCTTCCCGTTCTTTTCTGCCAAACTCTGAGCCAGCTCCAAATTCAGGTCGTTCCTCATCATTCTCTGCCCTTATTTCCTTGAGCGTTTGTTCGCGTTCCATTTTGCAGTTTTTCAGAGTTGAAATATCAAGATTCAGTGCAGCATTAAAGTGCAGCACGTTGAACTGCTTGGCCGTTTCTCTGTAAAAAACGGTAATGTGTTGTTGAAAAGGAGCAGTACCAACCAGTCTTACCCTCGAGGAACACGAACGATATACTCTTGTTCCATGATGACGACTTGTTAATTGTATAAAAAGTATCACAGTTGAGTACGACGAGGACTTAGCAGCAGCTGAGTGGCATCGTGTCAGGCGGCGCACAAAGTGTTGCGTCGTCTGTTTTTTCCGAAAAATTTGCGCGAGTGGCGCCGTCTGCAACCGCTCTGTTGACAGTTACAGTTGCAGCGCTTTCAGTTGAAAATTGTGCAAGTGTTTTCTCAAGCCATTTTTTTGCAATCATGGACCCGAAGCTGGTCGAAGAGTTGGACCAGTTTATTGCCTCTTCACAACCGCTGCATCCCGTCAATCACATCAACAATCCTGATTTGGAAGTAGTGTCCAAGTTACAGCAAGTGCTGACTGAATTCAGTGGCAGCTGTTCAAGCAATTTTATACGAAAAGTTATTCGCCACCAAGAATTGTGCCAGACATTTGACAGTACCAATTTATCGTTGCTTAATGATAGCATGTCTCCCGAGCGAAGTGAATACTTGAATGGCGAGAAAGAAAGGCAAGTAATGGTGGACGCCTCGAATGAAACTGTGGCTCAGGCTTTTGGGGCCACCGAGAAAACGTTGGATAAACAAAAGTTGGCCAAGTTTCTGGAGCCCAAGCTTCAAGCATACTGCAGAAAAATTAAGCAAAAAGTGAACCTGAAGGGCCTAGAACTGGATTCAGTTTTGAATAATTGATTCCCATTGCATCACGTAAAAAGATGTTTTTACTTTATACATATTAAATTTGTACAAACAGACTCGATTGCTTAGTGGAGCCTACGTACGCTTGCTGGGGCCAGGATCGCAGTTGCTAAGCTCATTTGATTGTTGAGTCCGATGGGTGGTGGTGGTGGTGTTGGGGTGCTGTCGCTTTACACACAGGTAGACGGGCCTGAAAAGAAAAGGTTAAAAAGTGGCCCATTGGCGCAAAGAGCAAACCTGTAGAGAACGACGTCTTCCACGTCCAAGGAGCCGTCGTAGACTTGGCCGCCAGTCCTGAACTCGGGTCCAATGTACATGCCACCCTCCACGTGGTCACAACAGACGTTGTAGTCAATAACCGGTTGCTTATTGGAATTGGGTATACGAAATGGACAAGTGGCAATGGTGATGGGGAAGATCAAGTGCAAGTTTTCTCCTGACTTTTCAAGCTCAACCCAAACCTAAGGTTTTGAAGAGAAAAAACTGGGTAATTTGTCATCCGCCAAAAGAAGCATTAAACAAACCTTGAGCGAGTAAAATATTTGCAGCAGCTTACTCAGGCCGATGATGGTGGGCGGCATGACGGGCACGACCAAGCTGTCTGAGCTGTCGAAGCGAAACTTTTGGTTCGGTGCCACATTCTCTCCCTGGTACTCGAGCACAGTGTGCACCACGTCCTTGTTCATGCCGAGCACTCCTCGTTCAATGTTGAAGCCGACATGCTGCGTGCAAGAGTTGGAGAAATGAGATCAAGTCATTGGCACGAATGATTCTACCTGAACGAGTTTCAGCTTTAGACGAACAATTTCTTCGCTTTGATTGTCAATGTCTGCCTTGAGACGAATACTCTCTCCGCAGCAGTACGCCGATCGCTCGAGGTAGGCCTTTATACTGACGACACCTTGCCGACAGCAAAAACAGCACACTGATCGATTATCACGGCCTTCAATGGGTTTCTGTTGGTTTCAAAAAGGTTACTAAAGGTAAGCTTTTCTGCTTCTCAGGTAGGTCCATACCAGAAACTGCTTGTCCATGCAGTCAATGTGCGGTCCGATGATGGTAAAGTACTTGATGCCCTGAGGCGGTGATTGATAGGGTATGTCGATGACGGCTCGCACAAAGTAGCGAATGGTGCACGGTTTTGACTCGAAGCTGCACGGCAGACAGCTTTCCGGAAGTTGAAATCTGCAGAAAGTGATGAGTATGATGAGTATTTAACAGGAGCAGTTTAGACTCACTTGAATGGAATGCAATGATGGCCTCTGGTGAATATTGAGGTGTCACCTTCTATAGGCAAAAAGAGCTATCATTAACAAATGGCGACACTGGTTGAGTGGAGGTCATCACCTTTTCCCCAGATGATGCTTCGATCATCAACGAAAACTTCTTCGTCTTTAACCGTACGTTTGTCACCACTGACAATGACCTTCCACTCTGCAATTGCTTTTCCTTTTAAAATGACTCGAATGGCTAGCATTTTTTAAAGTTTGAGGTTAGTGCGACAAAGTGATAATCGTCTGAGCTTACTTTTGAGTTTAAAGTTTTCAATCGTATGGAGAATGACATGTCCTATTAGGCATTCGCCCGGGTAGTACATTTCCTTTTCCAGGCGAATGTCAAACTGTCGAATGTAGTCCATTGAAAGTGTAGGTGTATGTTCAGTTCGATGACTCGAGGAGCAGGTGGCCACTGACTGTTTCTCCGACTCTCGTCTCAGTCTCCTACTTTATTTGCATAATCACGATCACGGACCACTTGATCGGTCTTGTGATTGCTCGCTTGGTCGGTCAAAGATGGTTCGCTAGAGTGACTAACACTAATGGCACCAGCTAAGCGGTACTTGTGTGTTTCAGACGCTGCTGGATCGATCTGCGGCCAGAGCAGTGCAGACAAAGAGCGCTGACAAGGTGGACAAGACAAACAGCTCTGCAGAACTGGCTGGATTAACGGACAGAACAATAAATGTGTGTGTTTACTTATACGGCGCTGTTTACATTGTCTGCCTGCTTCATCAATAATTGAGTGAATGGCAGGCGGACACTGAATACTTGGCGCTGTCTTCGTGACACTGACACCCAGCGCCCGGACGCTACCTTCGCATCAGCACACTCACCTCGGAAGTCTACACCGGCGGTTAAAGACACGCGAGCGGAGGGTGAGAAGATGCAGATGATGGGCTGCCGCACAAGTGCAACAAAAGTGCAGCAGGCGACAGGGAGGTGAAGGGACTGCACTTAATAGGGCAATTTGGGCAATTTGTAATTGGACACTGGGCGATTAAAGTGACATTGGGTTAGGGAAGCTAGCGGCGGAACGACGTCGACGGCTGCGGCGGTGGCGGCAGCGACGGGCACAGTAGCTGCACTCTCTTAGGTGGCTTTTCCTGCAGCTGATGGTGCTGCTGGTGTTGGTGTTGGTGTTGCTGGTGTTGCTGGTAGTCTTGGTGAGTAGAGACGGTATTTGCATCGAGTTTCAACAGCAGCAGCTACGACATCAACTTGGGTCAAGTGGATTGCTTTCGGTAGTGGCAGTTCGGCTGCAGCCAGTGCCCCTTCTTCTTCTCCTTCTCCTCCTCCTTCCTTTCTCTCAGGGAGCCACTCGACCAGTCTTCTGATGAAGATTTGCATTCGAGCTGCAATTCGATTGACTTGCTGGTTCATTCACAAAAATGAATTCCACCACGTGCTATATAGTCGTCAGTGTGTCTATGAGAATGTGAGTATGTGAGAGAGAGAGAGAGAGAAAGAATACTGTCTTGAACTGTAGAGCCAGCGCCGATCGAGTCTTAATCGTGCCCATCGGTAACGGTAGCATCGGCACTGCAGCCATCACCAGCAGTAGTGTCCGCAAAACACACTCACACACTTGCTCACAGTTCTTGGTCTGCAATGTAACTAACGAACCAAGCAGTGCCAGTTGTCTTTTGAAGCAATGAAGCCCATTAGGAAGCTGCAGAACTGTGGCCCATTCTCTTTCCTTCACTTTCGGAGTGGCAGTAGTGAAGCAAACCTCCTACAAGAGTGCTGGCAGTGCTGCTGCTGCTGCTGCTGCTAGTGCACACCACCAATTGCTCNACTCACACACTTGCTCACAGTTCTTGGTCTGCAATGTAACTAACGAACCAAGCAGTGCCAGTTGTCTTTTGAAGCAATGAAGCCCATTAGGAAGCTGCAGAACTGTGGCCCATTCTCTTTCCTTCACTTTCGGAGTGGCAGTAGTGAAGCAAACCTCCTACAAGAGTGCTGGCAGTGCTGCTGCTGCTGCTAGTGCACACCACCAATTGCTGTGTGGAAATGCATTTTTCATAAAGGGGCTGCAGTGAAGGCGCCCCAGTGGACAGGCACACAATGTGTGTACTACACATTCTCTTTGTTTCATTCTCACTCTTTACTCATTTAGAGAATCGATACAGGCGGCCTGGCAGAGGAAGCAACTGCTCGGAGGCAAGAATGCCGCCAGATAAATCATTTGCCAAGTGCCCGTCATTGCTTCTACTGAAGATGGTGGTGGCAGTGATGGTAGTAGTGCTTGTGCTGGTGCTGGTAGTTCCACCAACTGGTCGACTGAT